GGAATTGAAAGACAACTGTTTGGTCTATGTATTCACGCGATGACTTTGAGATGCTCTTCAGTGATTGCTGATTACAAGTTTTTGCACCTCTTTTTGCAGTGGCAATGAGGAAATATTTCTGTTTTTTGGTTGCAAATATTACTCTTTTGCACTTCCATTAAACATTTTTTAGTTGACTGACAGAGGTGGAAATGGAAATTATAACATGTTACTGGGAACTCCTGGAATTGAAAGACAACTGTTTGGTCTATGTATTCACGTGATGACTTTGAGATGCTCTTCAGTGATTGCTGATTACAAGTTTTTGCACTTCTTTTTGCAGTGGCAATGCAAAGGAAGAACCTGGTGCTATTGTTTGCCGAGTTGCACCATCATTTCTTCGGTTTGGTTCGTACCAAATACATGCCTCTAGCGGGAAAGAGGACCTTGAAATTGTTCGTGCTTTGGCAGATTATGCCATCAAACATCATTTTCCTCATATCGAGAGCATGAATAAAAGTGAGAGCTTATCTTTTAGTACAGGTGATGAAGATCATTCAGTTGTGGATCTGACCTCAAACAAGTATGCAGGTAAATATAGAGCTTCCATTAGATTATAGTAAGAGTTAGGTATGTAGAGGAATTGTTACAGCGGTATGTGGCTTGCCTAAGAAGACTGCAAAGTAAAGGAAGTACTGTGTGAGCTTCATGAAGAGTTCAACCTATAGTCAGAAATGATTAAATATGAAAATTATTTTACATTGTGGTTTAAGTACTTTGAATCCATGATACTTGAGATTGAATTAATTTACTTTTATTGATTAGGGCACCCTTGTCGTCCCATATTTAATCTGGACCATCTTCCAGAGTCCTCCATTGTATTCTCCTCATTTTGCTTTATCTTGTGAACTTTTTCAGCTTGGACAGTGGAGATTGCTGAACGGACTGCTTCTATGATCGCAAGCTGGCAAGGGGTTGGCTTTACTCATGGAGTAATGAACACTGACAACATGAGTATACTGGGTCTCACCATTGATTATGGTCCCTTTGGATTCCTGGATGCCTTTGATCCTAGTTTCACTCCAAACACCACGGATCTTCCAGGAAGAAGATACTGTTTTGCAAATCAGCCTGATATTGGTTTATGGAATATTGCACAGTTCACAGCTACCCTATCAACTGCCAAGTTGATTAACGAGAAGGAGGCAGATTATGCCATGGAAAGGTACTTGTATTTTGTAATTGCTAGATTTAATGGAAGCATATTTGCCAATGGCAGTTGCTTATAGGGTATTTGCAATGACTTGTTACAGATATGGAAACAAATTCATGGATGAGTATCAAGCTATGATGACTAGAAAGCTTGGTCTTCCAAAGTACAATAAACAGTTGATCAACAAACTCCTTAATAATATGGCTGTGGATAAAGTTGATTACACAAATTTCTTCCGGTTGCTTTCCAATGTTAAAGCAGACCCAAAAATTCCAGAAGATGAGTTGTTAGTTCCCCTGAAGGCTGTTCTTTTAGATATTGGACAGGAGCGTAAAGAAGCATGGATCAGCTGGGTGCAATCCTATGTGCATGAGGTAAAATATACAGGCATTATATCTTCGGTGTGGATTACTATATTTACTATGCTTCCTCTTCTTTTGTTTTCAAAACTTGTTACTGTTTTTGCCCCTGGTTACATATGGTTAATTGTTTCCTTTGCTATCATGGCATGTAGCCATTTTCCTTTTCTTCTCTTTCTCGTGCCTATGCACAAAGCACACTTGATGGCTTTGTGGAAACTTTTAGCTATCCACACTTGTGTTTCGTATTTAATTCTTACAACCAACAATGTTTCAGACAATGGTACTCTTATGAAGTTGGGGCGAAGGGAGCGGGTCTCGAGCTCCCTTTTCACCTAAATAAACTAAAATAAATGAACCGTTTAATTTTAAACTTAGACATTATAATAGTTAGAGGAAATTCGTTTGATCCATGGCAAGCAGTTATTACTCTTTCATGGCACTACTATGAGGAAATTCGTTTGATCCATGGCAAGCAGTTATTACTCTTTCATGGCACTACTATGAGGAAATTCGTTTGATCCATGGCAAGCAGTTATTACTCTTTCATGGCACTACTATGCCGTGCATGTTCCACGTGACTCATTGTTATATCCCTAAATAGTTGTTAGGTGCCTCCCTTGCATTCATAATCAGGTATGGTCAAATGAATGCTTTTGGTGGATGTGTGTGCGCGTGCCTGGTTTTTATTTTTATGATCTATCTGATGGAACAAACAGATCAGATGAGGAGCGATGTTTTTTACGCAGTTTCAGTTTTCAGTTGTATCATACGATCTCCTTTCTACTTCTGCAGCTGGCTGCTAGCGGGATCTCAGATGAGCAGAGGAAGGCCCAAATGGATTCAGTAAACCCCAAGTATGTTCTCCGAAACTACGTGTGCCAGACTGCCATTGATGCAGCTGAACAAGGTGATTACACAGAGGTCAGGAGGCTCCTCAAATTAATGGAGCGGCCGTATGATGAGCAGCCTGGAATGGAAAAATATGCTCGCCTTCCACCAGCCTGGGCTTATCGGCCTGGTGTTTGCATGCTTTCATGCTCTTCATGAGTTGCTTGATCTTATGAAAGTAGTCTTAAGACATGTATGTAATAGTAGCATCAAGCTCTTGTCCTCACAATAAACTGCAGTAACATGGAAACCTTGTTTGTCTATGCTGTTATAACAGGTCAAGTTGGAAAGGTATTATTTATTTATTTATTTTTATTTTTTCTCATCACAATGGTTGTAATCTTGTTCATGGATAATGTGGAGACTGCTTGAGTTTCTTCAATATTATAGACACGTGAGTATATGCATGGTGTTGTTACTGAAATATGCCTTTTTATGGACGTGTAATAAAAACAAACTTACTTTTCTGAAGGTTATTGATCTTCGAGTGGCTTAATTTAGTAACTTGAAATACAGAGCCTAATTCGACTTAAGTGTTTGAAATATAAGTGTTTGATTATTTCAAACGTTTCAAATTTTTTTTTGGAAAAAATTAATTTTTTTATTTTTTTTTAATTTTAAATTAATTTGATAGGTTATTTTAATGTGTTGATATTAAAAATAAAAAAATTAATAGTATGTATTTCGATAAAAAAATTATAATTACACTGTTAAAGAACTTTTAAATTAATTTAAAGAACTTTTAAATTAATTAAAATATATACTTGAGATATAAGAGTTGAGATATAAGAGTTTGTGATGATATATTGCCAAACAAGCTTTAAATTAATTAATTGTTAAATGAACTTTAAATTAATTAAGATATAGATTTGAGATATGAAAGCTTGAAATGTTATATATATATCGAAAATTTCATGTTTATTTAAAAAGTGATTTTTCAAAGAAGAAAAAATATACTATTTATTTTGTAACAAAATATCATTATAAAGGGTAACAAACTTTGAAGTATACCATTATCCTATTGTTTTTCAGTTCATTTAATTCATTCATAATTATTTAAATTTAAATAATTAATATTTATATTCAATTTCATTAATGTAAATCTTTTCTCATTATATTGTAAATTTGAAAGCAATATGATTAAAATATCTTTAAATAATTTCAGTAAACATCCAAACTTTTGATCATAAAAGAAGATAGATTGTGCTTCACTGACAGTCCATTTATAACGACAAATACAGGCAGTCAGAGACCATTTGTTTTCTCAAACGACATGTCAATCCAAAAACCTTACGCCTTACCTTAAAAACTCAAACCGGTGCGTTTTCTCTATTTTGCTCTCTCTCTGTATCTCTCAAAATCTTCTTCCTACGTGAAATTGACTTTTGTGGCTCAGCAGAAGCTGTTTCTCTGTTACAGGTGAGCCTTTATGAATCTCGATTCACGTGCATTGTTCAAAATTAGAGTGTATTTGTTTTTTTTATTCCCTGATTGTTAATTGCTTGCATTGAGTCTCATAATCTTGGTTTTAAAATGGATAGTGAAAACATTTTGCTTGCTGAAACCATTACATTTTTTTATGCACTGACTGTTTGATGAAATGCCTCAATGAAACTTTTCAGATTTTGCTAAATTACTAAAAATAAACCCCACAAAGAAATTTAGTTTTTTTTAAAGCTTTTGGAGTTAAAAAATCAGCCACAACAAGGTCTGATGCGGGTTGAAGTTACATGAAGGACATGCAATGGATAGGTTTTTTTTTTAATTTTAAGTGAGATTTTTTGACTGAAGGTGACATTTTGGATGGGAAATCTAGTAAGCGTTTTTTTATGCACTGACTGTTTGATGAAATGCCTCAATGAAACTTTTCAGATTTTGCTAAATTACTAAAAATAAATCCCACAAAGAAATTTAGTTTTTTTTAAAGCTTTTGGAGTTAAAAAATCAGCCACAACAAGGTCTGATGCGGGTTGAAGTTACATGAAGGAAATGCAATGGATAGGGTTTTTTTTTGTTTTGTTTAATTTTAAGTGAGATTTTTTGACTGAAGGTCACATTTTGGATGGGAAATCTAGTAAGCGATGATAACCCTTTTTTAGTACATTGTGTCTGCTAGAACCCGTGTTTTTGTTCTTAATGTTGGCCATCCTTCATTGAGGAATTGATGCATTTCTTTTCAAATAAGCCTTTTCTTTTTTGGTGGTTTAGTTATAGCATAAAAAGGAGGAGTACTTATATATGAAGATTTGTTGTGTATTTGTACTATTTGTTATTGTGACGTTGATATCCCTTCCTTTTGATCTCCTAGGTTCTGTGAGTTAATTGATGGTCTCATTCACTAGCAAACAAAAATTGGTGCTGCCGTCTTTGAATTTCTTTTTTTTTTTTTTACCT